AGAAAAGAAAGGAGGATAAGTGATTGGGGCTAGGAGTCAAGAAAGGGAGAACACAGGATAGAAGCTATAGAAGGAGTACTTTCTTAAAAAGGTGCTCAGATTCACCCTTAGTTGGGACTGTGATATAAAAATTTGCTTCAGGTTTGAAGCAATTCCCAGGCTCACATTCTATCTCACCAGCCATCCAGGAAGTAGCACAAGTTGGCCTGTGAACTCTCTAGTCTGGGACTCCTGCTCCTTGGAGGGCACCAAGGACAGAAAACTTAACCAGTGCCACTGCCAGGTGGTATTGACTAATGAGAAAAGGAAAAGTATAATTCTCATAAATCGCACCCCCCACACCCTTACTGCCAAAGTCATAAGGGACTAAAGAGAAATGGGAGCTGCAGTACCCTTAGTTTTATTTGTTCCCAATAATAAGGAAGGAAATACTTTTTGTTGTTGTTGCTCAGATCTACTTTCTGAGAAGCATTTCTCTTCAAAGACTTTAAAATCTTTGTCCAGCTCTTATACATGTTATCCTTAGTGTATGTGGAAAGGCAAAAAGCTGCACAAGGGGATATTATGCTGTTCCGTACTGCTTCTAGACGGATCAACAATGCAAACCTCCCTAAGAAATGGATCACATAAGAGAAAAAAGAAAAGATACATACAACTTCAAAGCTCCTACTGGTTCTTGGTGTTACTTCAAGTTCTGGTTAGTCAGGTCTGTCTTTCTAGGAGGTATGAGATCACTGAAGGCAAGCATCCCAGCCCACTGGTCTGTGTATGTGACTAAACACCTTGCATGTGGAGCAGCCACCCAACACAAACTTTGCATACTGCTATCTGGCTGTTAAATGTCAGAATTAATAGCCTCTGAGTAGGAAGGGAGAAGTGAAAAGTCTAAGAAAACTTTCTCCTGATGTGACAGAGATTGGGAAACTGGAGTTGAGTCATTTTAAGCCTATACTGACAGGAAGTAGAAAAGGAATAAAGTCCAAAGATAACAGAAGGAAGGAAATAATAAACATCAGAGCAGAAATAAATGAAATAGAAACTAAAAACCAATTCAAAAGATCAATGAAACTAAGAGTTGGTTCTTTGAAGAAATAAACAACATTGATAAACCTTTAGCTAGACTCATCAAGAAAAAAAAGGAGGTCTCAAATAAATAAAACCAGAAGTGAACAAGAAGCTACAACTGCCACCATAGAAATACAAATGATTATAAAAGATTACTATGAAAAATTATATGCCAATAAATTGGACAACCTAGAATAAACAGACAAACTTCTACAAACAAGCAATCTTCCAAGACTGAATAAGGAAGAAATAGAAAATCTGAACAGACCAATTACTAGTAATGAAATCAAAGTGTAATCAAAAAATTCCAACAAACAAAATTGCAAGATGAGATGGCTTCACAGGAGAATTCTACCAAATATTTAACAAAGAGTTAATACCTATCCTCCTAGAACTATTCTAAAAAATTGAAGAGGAAGGAAAATTTCCAAGTTCTACAAGGCCAGTATCACCTTGGTATCAAGACCAAACAAAACACTACAAACGAAAATTACAGACCAATACCCTAATCAACATAGATACAAAAGTCTTCAACAAAATATGAGCAAACCAAATTAAAAAATACATTAAAAGTATCATCACTATGACCAAGTGGGATTTATTCCAGGGATGGAAGGATGGTCCAATACCCACAAATCAATCACTGATACAGCACAGTAACAAAAGGAAGGATAAAAACTATGTGATCATCTCAGTAAATGCTGAAAAAGCATGTGACACAATTCAAAATCCATTCACGATAAAAACTCTCAACAAAGTGGGTACAGAGGGAACATGCCTCAACATAATAAAGGTCATATACGACAAACCCATAGCTAACATCATACTCAATGGTGAAAAGCTAAAAACTTTTCCTCTAAGATCAGGAACAAGACAAGGATGTCCTCTCTCATCACTTTTATTCAACATAGTACTGGAAGTCCTAACCACAGCAATCAGACAAGAAAAAATAAAATATATCCAAATCAGTAAGGAAAAAGTTAAAATGTCACTATTTGCAGATGGCATGTAGCCATACCCAGAAAACCCTAAGACTCCCCCCTCTACAAAAACTACTAGAATTAATAAATGACTTCAGTAAAGTAGCAGGATACAAAATCAATATACAGAGATCTATTGCATTTTTATATGCAAATGATGAACTAGCAGAAAGGGAAATTAAAGAAACCATCCCATTTACAACCACATCAAAAAGAATAAAGTACCTCGGAACAAATCTAACCAAGAAGGTGAATGATCTGTACTCTAAAAACTGTAAAACATTGATGAAAGAAACTGAAGACAATGCAAATGAACAGAAGCTATTTCATGCTTATGGATTGGAAGAATTAATGTTGTCAAAATCGCAAAGAAATCTACAGATTCAGTGTGATCCCTATCAAAATCTCAATGACATTTTCACAGAACTAGAGGAAGTAATCCTAAAATTTATATGGAACCAGAAAAGACCCTGATAGCCAAAGCAATTTCATAAAAGAACAAAGCTGGTGGTATCATGCGCCCTGATTTCAAACTGTATTAAAATGCTACAGTAATGAAAACATTGTGGTACTGACAAAAGAACAATATATAAATCAATGGAACAGAATAGAGAGCCCAGAAATAAGCTTATGTTTATATGGTCAATTAATGTACGACAAGGAGGCAAGAATATACAATGGAAAAGACAGCCTCTTCAGTAAATGGCGTTAGAAAAACTGGACAGCTGCATGCAAAAGAATGAAATTGGATCACTGTCTTATTCACAGAAATAAACTGAAAATGGATTAAATACCTACATATAAGACATGAAACCATAAAATTCCTAGAAGAAAACAAAGGTAGAAAACTCTTGAACATCAATCAGCATTAGTAATTTTTTTCTGGTATGTCTCTACAGGCAAGGTAGATATTTAAGCAAAAATAAGCAAGTGGGACTATATCAAACTAAAAACCTTCTGTACAGCAAAGGAAACCATCAACAAAATGAAGAGGCAACCTACTGAAAGGGAGAATATATTTGCAAATGATGTAACCATATAGGTGCTTAATACCCAAAGTATATAAAGAGCTCCAACAATGCAACACCAAAAAAAAAGAGAAAGGAATAATCCAATTCAATTAAAAAATGGGCAGAGGAATGGACATTTTCCCAAAGAAGACGAACAGATGGCCAACAGACACATGAAAAGGTGTTCAACATCACTACTCATCAGGGAAATGCAAATGAAAACCACAATGAGATATCATCTCACACCAGAGTGGCTAATATCAAGATAAGAGGTAACAAATGTTGATGAGGGTGTGGTGAAAAGGGGACCTTCATACACTGCTGGTGGGATTGTAAATTGGTGCAGCCATTATGGAATCAGTGTGGTTTCTCAAAAACTAAAAAACAGGAATACCATATGATCCACCATAATTGCACTTCTGGGAATTTTCCCTAAGAAAACAGAATCACCAATTCAAAAAGATATATGGACACCTAATTTTTTAATGTTTTATTTATTTATTGAAATATAGTTGATATAGAATCTTACATTGATTTCGAGTGTACAACACAGTGGCACAACAGTTACCCACATTATTAAATCCTTACCCCAACTAATGCAGTTACTGTCAACACAAGAAGATGTTACAGAATTATTGTATGCAGTCCTACTTTTAACACAGCATTATTTACAATAGTGAAAATACAAAAACAACCTAAGTGTCCATTGATAGATGAATGGATAAATAAGATGTGGTATATATAATATACAATGGACTATTAGCCATAAAAGAATGAAATTTTGTCATTTGTGACAACGTGGATGGGCCTAGAGGATATTATGTTAAATGAAGTCAGAGAAAGACAAATACCATATTATTTCACTTATATGTGGAATCTAAAAAGCAAAACAAACAATACAGAAACAGACTAGTGGTTGCCATAGGGGAGCGGGTTGGGGGGATGGGTAAAATACATGAAAGGGAAAAAAATTGGTGAGACTGTTTGGTATCCTGATCTGAATGATGGTTACATGAGGGTATGCACATGTCAAACTTCATTGAGCTGTACACTAAGATTTGTGTATTTTATTGTATGTACCTTAATGAAATAAATAAGAGAAATCACTAACTTTCAAATATATGTCTAATTTGAAGTTTAAACTGCAAAAAGTATAATAAAAGTTAAGTGTCCTGGAAAAAAGTTAGTAAAAAATGAGCAACATTCGTAAAAGTGCATAAAAATGTCTTGAAAAAATATAAAGGTATCTCTTATTCTTATATAGGAACATTCAATAGTATGAAGAGGTCAATTTTCCAAAATCATAATATGAATTTAGTGTGATCCAAATAAAAATACCAGCATAGTTCTTGATAACTTGACAAATTAGTTCTAATATGGAAAAAATAAAAAGCAAAAATATTCAGGAATAATTCTAGAAAAGGAGAGTAATAAGGGGAAGACTAACCCTATTAGATATTAAAACACACATTATAAATGTGTGATACTGGTCAAGTACAGAAATACATATTAATATATGAGAATAGAAAATCTAAAAGTAAACTCAAATACATATGGGAATGGACTAAATTTGTTGCCCACATATCCATACAAAAAGAAATTCTAAAGGATGTTCTTTATGCAGGAAAAAAAAACAACCCAGATCAAACAGAACTACAGAGCTGCCTAGTGGAGAGTCAGACATCTCTCAAACTTATCTTTGGTCCTTTCAAAGCTCAACAGAAAACTACTACTTGTGGATTGCAGAATGTTCTCTTTCATGCCTCCACATTTGAATATGCTATCCTTCGGATCTGGAATGCCTTTTCCTACCCTTCTATCTGCCAAATTCATACTCAAGTTTCACAAAAATTAGGAGCCCTTCTTCTGTGAAGTATTCTTTCTTTAAGAAGAAATAAGATTATGTGCATTCTCCTAAATGTTGACTTTCCTCCAATTTCTTGCATCTCCATTTTGTTCTTCATCTGTTATTTGTTCTTTACACCATTGGCAGAGGAATATTGCTAAAATACAGATCTGATTGAGTCTCTCTCCTGCTTAAAAATACTTGATGCCTACTAAATGCCTGGGTGTCTACAAAATAAAGTATGAACTTCTTGGGACATGGGACTCATTGAAGTCCCTCCAGAATTCACCTCCAACCTATTTTCCTCATCTCAGCTCTGCAATGTATGCCTTTGCACCCTATACTCAAGCCACCCTTGCCCTCACCATTCACACACACACACAGCTCTCAGGGCCTTTGTTCACTCAGAACTTTTGGCCTGATATCCCTACCTCTCACAGTTGACACCCCACTCTGGTCTGCCCATTCAGATCTTTCAAATCCCATTAAGAATTAGTTACTTATTCTTGAGCTTGCATAATTAGTATTTATTTCATTGTGATTGGTTATCTTAGTTTATATTTCTGTCATTAGTCTATAACATTCTTGAAGTCAGGGCCACATCTTACTCATTTGTTTCATCCCCCTAGCCTTATTGCTTACCCCATGATAATAAATATTTACACATAAAAATGAATATTTTTTGCACAGAATGAAATACAATAGTGCCTGAAAAAATAAATAAATAAAATGAAAAGAAATATAATATTGCCTGGCACATGGTAAGCTTTCAATAAATGTGGACTCTTACTAATGGTAATAGTAAGAGTTCACAATAGTGGTAACAGTGGTAATAGGTGCTCAATAAACATTTTTTGAGAAATGGTGAAACTGACTGTGCTAATTTATTATTAGCCAGCCAAGTTCTTTTAGAACAATATTGCTTGGAAACCATTATAAAGAGTTTCAGTTTCCTCTTTTGGTGACAGTAAACGTTCAGGTTGTAGAACCTCTAAAAAAGCCTTGAGATATTTTTTAAGATCCAAGTTATATCATTTAATCTGGTCCCCCTACAGATAATTTTAAAATTTAATTAAATATTTAAGATAAATATTCATTTATCCTGAAATTTAGTATAGTTCTTAGTATAAAGTACGAACTTGATAAATATTGGCTGAAGGAATGAACAAATAAATGAATTAGGATGAATTGTTTATATGACAGTCTTTCCAAAGAAACAGAACACATGAAGTATAAGGAATATGCTTTAATTTACCTTTCCTCTCCAATACCTAGCACAGTATCCAGCACAAAATGAGTGTTTACTAGGTAGCCATTTATTAAATTATGGACAAGAGATGAATACTGCTTTACTTTAAAAATGCAAAGAAGAAAGAAAACACATTTCTTGTATCTTGGAAACTTTTATCCAAAGATTTATGAATTGATTCATGAAATGGGGATGGAAAACAGTAATTTCTATCTTGAGGATATAAGAGTGAACTTGGGGACTAAAAAGTCATGTCAACTTAGTGGTCTAGAGTGGTTTAAGCTAACTAGTCCCTTTGAATGAGAATCTAGCTTATGTGAAAATCTCCAGCCTCTGACCATTATTTGCATAGCATCTGTCCCAGAACAAAACAGGGCAGGTTATGGTCACATTTCTTAGTCTACCTCTTAAGAAATTCCTACTGCAGCCACAATGAAAAATAAAGGCCTTGGGTGGAGAGGAGGAAAGTAGGAGTGTCACTTGAAGCATAAACAAATGGGGAAAATGAATGGACAATCTCTGTATCACTACACGTGTTTCAAGAAAGGCACACCAAGTCCTCTCCAAAATACATTAGTAGATGACACCATCGTGGAAGAAATGGAAGAGCAGGATGGAGTTGGCTTGCTGATGTCACATCTTGGGGAAGCTGGCGAGGTTGGCAATGCCACAAGCATTGTTCTTATTCCGAGCCATGAGGATATAGCCTTTGTTTCCCCAGTTTTCTCCCCAGCTGTAGGACCAGTCAATGAAAATATTTAGTACTCTCAGCTTATTTATTCATTAAAATACTGAGTATTGTGCTAGGTACTGATAGTATACAAAAATGAATTAGACAAGTTTTAGCTTTAAAGTTTTTAAATCAAGAAATGGAAAGAAGGCATAATGCTATAGGTCTCATAGGTAGGACAGATTGCTTCTGACAAAGGGGACCAAAAAATGCTTACTGTAAAAGGTAGCATTTAAGCTGAGCCCAAAGGCTGGATAGAGTTTAGATATGAAGAAATGGGATGAGTATGAAATAAGCATTAGAGGTAGGAAAGCACAGGGTATATGTTAACATCATGCGGCTGAAAATTAGGGTGCCTAGAATAGTGTAGTGGGAGATATGACTGGGAAGGTAGACTGACTGAAATTAGGTTGAATTATCTTTACTGCCAGGCTAAAGAGATTCATTCTTTGGCCCATCACAGTGGAGGAAACACTGAAGGTTTCTGATTGGAAGGGTGATATGATCCAATTTGTTTTAGGAAGAAAAATCTTGAAAATATGAATCCAGAGCATTAGAAAGAGGCAGGAGAGGCTGAAGTTGTTCATCTTGGTCTGGGAGTAATGATAGGCAAGATGAATGAAGCTATGAGAATGGATGAGATTGCTAAGGAGACAAGTGGAGAGAATGGAAGACTGGGGTATTGGGCGTCAGGGTGAGACAGGGAAAGAGAAAAGGGAGGGGGAGACAGAGAGTGATAGAAGGAAGGTCTGTCTATGTATCTTTCTAAATTGTTTTCATGAGTTTTCTGCCCTTTTTCCCCAACCAGCAAATTTACTAATTACCCAGTATATTTACTTAAAATCTGTATCCTACCCCTAGTTCACTTCTCCAGGGGTCCCCAGTGACCCTGATCCTGCCTGGGTGTGTCCCTTATTCCTCCCAGGTATCTTGGATTTGGCCTCCACCCTTGGTACCTAATCAATAATGTATATCCATTATATTTCAATAAAAAAGAAAAGAAAGGAGGATAAGTGATTGGGGCTAGGAGTCAAGAAAGGGAGAACACAGGATAGAAGCTATAGAAGGAGTACTTTCTTAAAAAGGTGCTCAGATTCACCCTTAGTTGGGACTGTGATATAAAAATTTGCTTCAGGTTTGAAGCAATTCCCAGGCTCACATTCTATCTCACCAGCCATCCAGGAAGTAGCACAAGTTGGCCTGTGAACTCTCTAGTCTGGGACTCCTGCTCCTTGGAGGGCACCAAGGACAGAAAACTTAACCAGTGCCACTGCCAGGTGGTATTGACTAATGAGAAAAGGAAAAGTATAATTCTCATAAATCGCACCCCCCACACCCTTACTGCCAAAGTCATAAGGGACTAAAGAGAAATGGGAGCTGCAGTACCCTTAGTTTTATTTGTTCCCAATAATAAGGAAGGAAATACTTTTTGTTGTTGTTGCTCAGATCTACTTTCTGAGAAGCATTTCTCTTCAAAGACTTTAAAATCTTTGTCCAGCTCTTATACATGTTATCCTTAGTGTATGTGGAAAGGCAAAAAGCTGCACAAGGGGATATTATGCTGTTCCGTACTGCTTCTAGACGGATCAACAATGCAAACCTCCCTAAGAAATGGATCACATAAGAGAAAAAAGAAAAGATACATACAACTTCAAAGCTCCTACTGGTTCTTGGTGTTACTTCAAGTTCTGGTTAGTCAGGTCTGTCTTTCTAGGAGGTATGAGATCACTGAAGGCAAGCATCCCAGCCCACTGGTCTGTGTATGTGACTAAGCACCTTGCATGTGGAGCAGCCACCCAACACAAACTTTGCATACTGCTATCTGGCTGTTAAATGTCAGAATTAATAGCCTCTGAGTAGGAAGGGAGAAGTGAAAAGTCTAAGAAAACTTTCTCCTGATGTGACAGAGATTGGGAAACTGGAGTTGAGGTTGGGTGTTGAGGGTAGCTGGGTGACAAAGTTAGTGTTCCCATCATTACCTGTTTTTAATTATCCAGTGCTTGTTCCCCTTCTGGATCCCATATCCCACGGCCAAAACCGCATGGTTCAGATTATCACTATTGCAGTTTTCATCATAATACACACCTAGGAAACAAACGATCAAGGTGAACCTTTCTGCAATTAAGGGTTGCCCTTTGGGGTCTCTGTAGAGAGTCTAGTCGACCCTCTGTAGAATCCTGTCCCAGTCAAGAGGGTTTTATGACAGAGGCTTTGAGCTGTGGCAGCTGTAAGTTTTTCTCTGACAGACTCAGTCTGAATATGGAAACTAAGTACTGAAAATGCTCAGTACCTTTTGAGAAGCTGCCCTGCCTATATCATAAGAGACTGTTAATTGTGTTCTTTAGGAACAGCTCCTTACCTTTGCTGTAAAACTGGAAGGAGGTCAGGCTTGCATCAATGGCTACAGAGATGGGTCCCACTCGGGCCACTGCTCTCTTCAGGGCTTTCTCATTCCCCTCCGGGATCTCTCTGTACCCTCTGCACTTAGCTGCCTTGCCTGTTGGGCTATACATACAACTTTCATCCTAAAAAACAAACAAACAAACAAAAAGATTGGAATAGGACTAGGACAATGAAACAGGCAGTGAATTGGTGAGAAACTTTACCAATGCTTTGAATGATGTCAGCAAATTAAAAGGGACAGCAGACTAGAATGTCTAGAAAGGATCTGTTCTCTCCCTACCATTTTAGACAACTATAAAAAAGAATAAGAAAAGTGGTTACCCTGCACCATACATAAAAATCCAGGTGGTTTTACAACATAAATGTGAAAAGAAATGCTGTAAAACTAAAAAAAAAAGAAATAACATTTTTCTTAACTCAGAATAGAAATATTTCCAAGCTACGTTTTTTGTTCTTTAGTTTTTTTTAGAGCAGAAATCATCTTCTGGCCATGTAGTATGTGTGAGCCTCAGAGTGCAGGGAGGCACCAACAGCTATGTAGGGAGGAGGCCAAGGACTAGGCCCAGCTAGAAGTCCCCAGGCCTTATGCACATTTATCAAAGGAGCTAATGTGAAGCAAAGAGATTTGGCTGGACCCTGTGCTCTCTTGAGACACAGAGGTAAAAGCACATAAACATAGTACTAAAACAAATAAAGAACTTAGCAATCTAGCCTGGGAATTCTCAACACTAAGTTTTGCATATCCAGTTAACGACATGCTTCCTTGGCAAGCTGCAATTATGGAGTGTGCGTCAAAGCAGTTTATTTCTTAGGCGGCTCATTTCCCAACAGATTACCCTTTCAAAACCCTAAAGTTATATCTATAAGAACACATTATCTAAGTATTAACAATAATGGCAACATTTGACATGTTATTCAAAGATTACAGTAGTCTCCTGTCTTAGTAATTTCTCAAGATTTACTTGTTCTCTGTCATATGATCCAAGTCCTTGATGCCTCCCAGCACCAAGAAGCATACAAATCTACAAATAAGATATCTTGGGAATGGATTCAGAACGATGGCACATGATACTTTTAAGTCAGAATAACCTGCATTGTGGCTGGAATGAGTAGAAATCTGGCTGCTGCTCGATCAGATCTCTCCTTCTTTAAATTTTATTTTTCTTTACTTCCCTCCCTCCATTCATATGTTCATAAGAAAAGCACTTTCAGTTTTGAATGCTAACTGCTTTTAAAAACGGTAAGGTAGATACAAGAGAACAGTTGCCCAAATGTCAAAATGTTAAAAATGGAATGTGTTTTATATGGCTAATTCTTCATTTTAATTGATTATGAGACCAAAATAATTTCACATTGCTCTAAAATGCTGAAGAATTCATTTGAAGGAGCCAGGAGAAAAAAAATCAGAAGTCAAATGTTCTTTCTATTCCAAATTAGGTTGCAAGTATATAACTTTCATTTTTCAGTCTCAGAGCTATTAAACTATCCCTCAACAAACTTGCTAATACAGTACTGAATGAATGTAAACTGTCAGTGGATGAGTGATCAACTATTAATTCTGAAGGTATGTATTTTTCTTTAATGTAGTTACATAAACCTTTAAGTTGGCTGCCTGAATTAATCAATGTAGAAAGAATTATAAACATAAATCTGTTTTTTTAACATATTGTTGGGATTTGTTTAATTTTTTTTACATCAAGTGACAACAAAAAGTTGTCAAAAGAAGAGCTGACAATTTTAAAAAGAAGACATTGCTATGTTCAGGTTATCTCACTAATTGGCCTGATATATTCAGAATTAAAAAGCTTATCTGTTAGAGTAGCTTAAGTGTGGTGCACCTTATAGTTTGAGCTGCAGAATTCAAACATGGACTTGGGACTCAGCAGTTCTAAAAATTGTTTAGAAATTAAAGAAAAACGTTTCTAGGTAAAACTTCTGATTTCTCTGCCTTGGATACCTGATAGCTAAAAAAATGTAACATGGACCAATAAAGGAATGACATTTAGAAAATACTGTTTTGTTTGGCCATGTTGAAGTGCTTTTACAGTGTAGGTTGTTCAGTATCCAGTGAAGAGGATTTTTTTCAGTCATATATGTAATGAGCATTTTATTGCAGCAGACATCATTTCAGAGGACTAAAAATGAATGAATAAAATCATTGTTATTAACTTTTTCTTAAGGCACAAACTGCAAAGGAAAAAGTTAATTTTATTACATTAAAATTAAGAACTTCTGGATTGAAAGATCATAGGGTGAAGACAAGCACTGACTTACAATACATATAGTATTAGAATCTGAATATATTTTTAATTTCTAAAAATCAGTAAGAATGAGAAAAACAACCTAATTAAAAATGGACAAAAGATATAAGCAATCAGTTCACTGGAAGAAGAAATGCAGGCAGATAAACATACTAATAAAGATATGAAAATCAATGAGATTTCTTATGCACTGAAGATGGGAATATTTGGTAAACAGTTTGACATTTTCTAGTAAAGTTGAAGATGCATATACCCTAACACTCAGACAATTCTGTTACAAGGTATTATATTTAAGTAAAGAAATTTTTGCACATGTGCACCAAAGACATGCTTGGGAATGTTTGCAGCAGATAAACAAATCTTGATAAGTAGATAAGTCTTGGCTCTGCTATGTAACTAAGGCTGTGATTTTGAGTATGCTGTTTCATCTCCTTAAGTGTCAATTTCCCCACCTGTAAAGTGAGGATAGATCTACCTTCCAGGACTGTTATAAGGATTAAATGAGAAAATGCACCACACACATGGCTTAACACATAGTAGCCATCGTTTTAATTTTTCAAACTTCCTATCCATGCTTCAAAGGCTCCTACTGCAAAGGTACATTTTATATTATCCATCAACCCCATGTATATAAAAAGCCCTCAGATCTTCCTTTTAGGTAAGATCTTCTTCCTATTTAATAAGCATTTTCTAGGAGGAAGTGAGTTGATCTCTAAAATTGTAACAAATATGAAGCAACTTATGTTTTCTGTTATGTATGTTTGCATGTTAACTTATTTGCTTACCCATTCCCCAAACCCACACTGATATCACACAAAATAAAGCCAAATGATTCATGGAATTAGCATAGTGGGTTTTGGGATTTGTGATGGGAATGGAGGAACTGAGAAGAGGGTTATGGGATCTGTTGGGTAACCCGTCTTCTTTTGTCTCCCAGGCAGAGGCAGATAGGAACTATGGCAGCTTAAATTCCCCACATTCTCCCAGATTGTGTGTCTTCTTGGCCTTTTATGGGTACTTGTCCCATCAAGAAAGCAGGATAGAGTAACAGAAAATAAGATTTCTGGAATTGTTTCTAGTACAAAACATCATGCTGGGGAACAAAGAACCCTTATAGTGCTATACAACTCTGTGGGCCAATCTCACCTGTCCCACATATGGGTAGGCGTCTTCAGAGTCAATGCCCCGGTTCTTCTGCACATATTGGAAGGCATTGGTCATGTAGCCCCCTCCACAGCCATCGTTTGCCGATACACAGTCTACCAGGTTTTGGGGACTCAGATTTAAGAGTTTGCCAGTTTTCTTCTTGAGCTGTCCCTCCAGGGCTCCCACAGAGCTAAAAGCCCAACAGGAACCACACTGACCCTGAGAGACACACCAGAGACACTTGTCAGCTGCTGATGTTCACATTTTTTGTTTCTTCCCTCTGCTTGCCTAATGAAATTGGATACATTTTATAAATTCCAAACACACATCCCCTTTGCTATGAACTTCCTATTTCCCTTCATTTAACATTTGTTGCATTGTTCTATTGCTATTGTTGCTATTGATACCCATTGTTACTATTGTTACCAGTTACTGTGGTAAAGCTGAGCAGAGTACTAAATATGTGCCCTTCGGTAAATTACTAACCCTCTCTGTGCCTCAGTACCCTCATTTCTAAAATGTAAATAACAACAATAATATATTTAGGATTACGAGAATTTCAAAAATTCATGTAAAGGATTTCTACATTTCTGACACATAATCTCTCAAAAAGTGCTAGGTATATCTTACTACGCTGATGGACAGTGACTGTAATGGGATATGTGGTAGGGACTTGATAATGGGAGGAGTCTAGTAACCATAATGTTGCTCATGTAATTGTATATTGATACCAAGAAAAAAAAAGTGCTATTATTATTTGTGTTTGTTTACCTAGATTTTTCTTTACTTCCTGCTCAATTTTTTTTAAGACTGAGGATTTCTCGAGGACCCAGGTTATATCTTCTTGAATCTCTCCTGCCTAGCACTATACCTGGTCAGTTCTGAAAAAAATGTTGAACATGAATGTTAATGTTAAGTCAATTGTATCTGATTAATTGTATCTGTTTGACACAATTAGCATTGTTAAAGTTGTGGGAAAACTGGCACTTTTACACTGGTAAGAATGTAAAACTGTAAAAACCTTTCTGGAAAGGATTCTGTGTGACCTAGCAATTCCAATTTTAGAATTTATTTTACATAACAAAAATACATGCACAAGTATACTTAGAACAACACTATTTGTAGAAAAAGAAAACCAGAAACAACCTAACTGTACAAAAATAGGCCATATTCTCTTAGCATGGGGAGAGGTACCTTAATTCCTTGCCCCCTCTTTCCGGTACCCTCCTACCTTAAGAACAAAGAAGCAAAAAAGAGGTCGTACCAGCTTACATAGCTACATCCAGCAGGAGGAAGGTACCTGGTTTTTGACAGGAGTAACATATCCCTTCTTTCGATAATCAATAGAGTCTGGGGCTCTGCCTTCCCAGTCTGGGATATACAGGGTGTCATTATTGCAGGAATGAGAGAGGGGTACTTTGAGTCCAGTCATCTGCTGAACCACCTCTTCACTGGTCTGGGACAAAGAAGAAAGAGGCCAGGCATAAGCAAGGAACTAAGGCAAACAGGGCGGGTAGGCCAGAAGCTGAGGCTCAACTCACCATGTCCCCCAAGTGGTTCATGGCCAATTCATACGTATGGACACCAAGAGAGGCCTCAAGGTTATGGATGGAAATAAGCTTCAGGTTTTTTTCCCAAGTTAAACGCCGAGAAATTTCATCCACCTGAACAAAACATAGTCAGTACTGACATGATTGTCCAGTGTACAAAATCACACATGTAATACTGTGGAGAAAAGATGAAACTTTTAGTAGAAAAGAGGAAATTTATAATCATAGGGAATTCAGTCTAGCTGGGGAACTGATCACAGGATTAAGAGTGTGCAAAAAGAAATGTGTAAACAAATACAAATAATAGAATACAAAGTTCTAGAGAGATGTATAGGAAAATTGTTTATGGATTAACACTATTAATCTGAGAAGTCTTTCCAAAGAGAAATTTGACAGTTATAAAGAAAAGGAAGAATGGAACTTGAGGGGGTGGTGAGGGTGAGCTGAGTAGTAAGAGTTAGAGAACAGGAGCAAGTTTGCTTGGTTGGAGTGATTATTCAGATTGAAGAAGGGCGGGCGTCTGGAGGCTTGGAGTGAGGCCTCAGGTTCCAGCCTTCCCACAGGGCTCCCTTCCAGGTCCCCAGGTACCTTACTGTTGTACTGCTTCCTGTGTATCTTCTTCCAGAGTTCCCACTGGGCGTCTGGTATCTCCTCAGGATATAAAGCAAAGCTCACCATAGGCAGCAGCAGAACCTTGAGCCCCCACATCCTGGGAAAGGGGATAATTAGGGGAGACTTCTAGTTGCCCAGGGATTCATAGCCTGGCTTGGGATGAGGAAATAGTTGGAACCATATTCCCAGACAGGTGATCTTTAACCTTTGGGAGTCATGGACTTCTTTGAGAAGCTAATAAAACTTTGCAACTCTCTGTAGTCCCTTTCACCAGAAAAATGCACGCACACACAATTCCGGGGAGTTAGGAGCCAAAGCTAAGAATCCCATCCTCCAGACCATGAAGCAAAGGAAAACTAGGCTTTACAGGGAAGGTAGACAAAGAATTGAGGGTGATTTCCCATGATAAAACAATAATAGGAGAGGTCTGGGTTTGGATGGGGTGCCGACACATCTGGTTCCATGCATTTTGACCTAGGGAGATTCAAATCCTCCTGCCCCCAACACACACACATGAACAACCAGAAATGGAATTGAAATGGACAATCAGGATGGGCTCAGCATCTACTTTCTCCAATGTCCCCTAGCAGACTTGGAGGAGATTGGACAAGGTTAAGTGCAGGGTGAGATGAGGGTTGGAGAATACATAGATTGTCCAGCTTCCTGGTTTCTTCAAGGCCTTCTTCACTTCTTTGCCTAAAATCTAGTATTTTTCCACATAGGAAAGGACAAGGAGAGGACAAGGGTAAAGTTGACAGTATTTCCTATTCTCTAACTATGAGATGTTTATGCACGTCTCACTCATTTCTTTCTCCTTTCTCTTCCTGCTCCCTCCTCAGGCAGGAAACTCTCCTAATCTCAACCAGCCGCTATAGGAAGGAGAGTTTTCCCTTATTTTTCTCATAACAAAAAACCTCTGTGAGTGCCTCACAGGACAAAACATTTGTCCTGTGAACCAGTTTGTTAGAATACAAGACAAAAAAACAATGTCCTATGATCATTAAAGTCACAGTTTTTCACTTCAGTTTAGTTCACTTCTTGCAGTGGTTAATTTTGTGTCCTCCATTTTAAGAACAAATTTAGTCTGTAGCAAGCACACACAACTTGCATAATTTTTTAACTTCTAGTCCATTTTCGTGTTATCTTTCAAAACTGTCAAAATGCCCAGCAGGACATTTAATAACTGGAGTATTAAGAGCTTTGAGATGTCTCAAAGAGAAGTAAATACTGAACCCCCCGCCCCCTACCGCCGCTAGTAACTTAACCCTTTTGTTACCTTTGGCCCAAACAGAAAACCCTTGATAGGGCGCTCTTTGAGGGGTGGGTGAAGATTTCCCCTAGCCTTTGCTTTCACTAACACCCATGTACACATACATACAGATCATAGAAGGAACCCTAAAGACTTCCAGGCAATTTTTATTTTGGCCAGTAAATGACCTAAGAAGGGAGTATCACCACTTTATCCCACAGCTTACAAAGTTCCTTTTGATCCACAAGTCATTACCATCCCAAATATTCCTAAAATGGAGAAAAGCAGAAACGGTAAGCTAAAAGTTCGAGGAAGTTGAAAAGGTTACCTGCTGCCGGGATCTGTCCCTGGGCTCGTTTCAGCAGGGAATGCGGACAATGCGGGCGGGTGACCAGCCGTGCTGGATTTATTCCACTAGGATTGCGGAAGTCTGCTCTAGCTGCTGGCTGGAAAATTTGAATAGGGGAGTGAAGCGGAGATAGAAATGCTGAGAGAAGGGGGGTGAGGGAGGAGGGATGGAGGCACAGGATTTGCAGTTTTCTGTGTGTGCATGTGGAATACTAGCTATTTAGTTTCACATGACTTCGAGGGCAGACACAAGAGACTTCAATACACAGTACTCAAATTGGGGCTTATCTTCTCTTGGATGGATAAACAGGACACATTCCTGGTCTTCCGCATCCCTATGTATTATTATATTGGGGGATTGACCTTTTCCTGTCCCTTTCTTATTACCTCTCTCTCCAACTCTGAAACATGTTTTTGAATTTGATCCTCACATCAAGGATGAGGGGATAAACACAAAAGGCTGGAAAAAAGTATGTAAAGGAAGCTATAGGCTCCAAAATAACTTGTAATTTATAAGCTTGTTGGCTAAGAGTTGTCACTGCTTCAAGGTGGGAGACTAGCTCTCCCAGACTAACGTGGTTTTGCTGAGGAAGGAAATGCCCGAAGTCCAGATGAAACCTATTCTAAAAGTAATCAAAAACAGAACTTCTAGTTATTTATGACAGCACTTGAACCAACGCCATAAGCACTGACAAATTCACATGTGACTTTTGTTACTAAAACTTTCAGATGGTGGGATGCCTGATGAATATTATGTCTCAATTGTTAAATTCCTGATGTAAGTCCAGTCATAAGAAGTTCTCCAAATGCTTCCCCCAAACCAGCCTTGTGACTGATCATGAGGCTAGTTCAGTCCCTAAACTGCAACCCCAAACTCCATTTTCTCCCATAAATAGATGTGCAGGAAGAGGCAAAGAGGGTCCTCGGAACAGAAAGGATGATACATGGGATCCAGACACAGTTTCTAGCTGGATCATAAACATAGACCACCCTCAAGAACACAGGTTTATGCCTATGTGTTTTACGATTTGCTAATGAGCCACATACCACATGGTCCTAGAGAGAAATCAGGTCCAGACTTTAACAGTTTAAATTTCTCCACCCCTAATTCCTTTTAACACACTACAGGACATACGAGGAAGGGAATCCAGATGTGCCCTACTAGTCTCAAGTCCCAGCTCTCTGTCTCCAGAGGTCGTGGGCAATCCCCTAGCCCCCACCCCATGGTCAGATGTCCCTGCCAATTTTACTCAGAATGAGTCAGGATCAGGAGTCAGGACATACGAGGAAGGGAATCCAGATGTGCCCTACTAGTCTCAAGTCCCAGCTCTCTGTCTCCAGAGGTCGTGGGCAATCCCCTAGCCCCCACCCCATGGTCAGATGTCCCTGCCAATTTTACTCAGAATGAGTCAGGATCAGGAGAGCCACCAAGGAGCAAAGAGGCAGCAGAGCCCTGTGATTTCTGATTCCTGAAATTACAGACACACTGTGTTTCATGTCACATATCTGGAGCTCAAGATATGGATTCAACTAGTTGTGGGTGCTTGTCGTTAATGAGCTGGAAAGGAATAATAAAGCCACAATCAAGATCACACAAAAGTTTACAAAAAGAAGAAATATTTTGTTTTACAATCTTTGCTACATACCATATTTTTGCCACTGTAAGGCTCAACACAGATGCCAGCAGTACAGAAATGGCCAAGAAAAAAACAAAACAATCCAAAATAAAACCCTGAAAGAAAAGCAGAAACAAAATCCCCAGAGCATCTTCTCCCTCCCCTCCCCCAAAAGCCCTACAATAACTATACAATATTATAGTCCTGATCACATTTAAAAACAGCTGATTATTAAAAAACAAAGATTCCATTAGAAACTCAACTTTTTGGTTTCTTAAATTGTGATATAAATATATATATGTATACTGTATGTGTGCACATAGAATAAAAAAATAAACTGTCTCCCACTTCACTACCACATATCAAACTGGAGACAAAAACGAAGGAAATCCAATAATGGCATTCTGTCAACCTCTCCAAGGCCATTTGTGCTCCTGTCTCCTATGGCTACATTTAGTATGTTTTCTCCTTATTAATTCCTTCTTGCACTTAAGATACTGGCCTGAGCCAATTACAAAAAAGAAAAAAGCTGATACACATGACTGTTACCTGAGGATGGAAAAGAGTGAAAATAGTAACCTGTATCCACATTTACATGGCTATAGTTAACAATTATGTGACCCTGTTGGATGGGAGTCCACGCCCCATCTATCACATGAATTTATTACACCTGTCCTCTAAAGCAAATTCCAATCTCAAGATTGGAGAGGGAGCAAAGAGAAAAGAACAACGGGCCCAGAAGACAGACCCAGTTCCAACCGTACTTTGAGAATGGATGAAAGAGGCTACTTTGCAAGAAGGCTTGGTATTTGGTTTAAATTCCAGCAGTGAGATTTTCACTGGGACTGCTAATCCAAGAAGTTGAGTTTCCATGCAGAAATAACCTCTAGAAAACACACATCAGATGTGTTTCTGACAGAAAAATGCAGCATTATCCTTATGGCCAGCATGGGTTTTTTACAAGTGTTTATCTTGCTAGCCACCTGAACATCTTCAATGTTTGCAGATATTCCATATAAGGTGAGAGCACCAACAGCAGTAATGACCCAGCTTTATCACCGAGTATGTTTGATGAGACATCATATCAATAGAAGACTTTATATATTTGCTTATAGCTGCTTATTGGCTGGGCACAGATGTAAGTGCAGCAAAGACATTTATTTGAATACCCTTTGGCTGCAATACTAAGTGGAAAATACCTGGAAGATTTAACTCCTTAGGACTCTGTGAAAAACACAGAAAAAGACAAAGATAAAATCTGGGACAAATTTTGCATAACTCCCTGATAGGGAGAAAGAAATAAGCACAGAAACACATATGCACGCGCGCGCGCACACACACACACACACACACACACTCTCTCTCTCTCTCTCACTGTACTTCACTCATGTTTCTTTCAAGAGGAATTGCTTGCTCACAGGCAGCAGAAAGAGCCTGTGCTCATTTCCTAAAGCCCCATATATACCCACCGTGTTTCATGGTCCTCAAATATGAGGACATTTCTCCTTTCCCCAACCCTATTTAGAATTTCTTTGCAAAAACAAGCCACGATATCCAAAGCAAAGGGTGGATACCAGGTTCTCTAACCTGCCCCTTGACCCTGGCACAAATCATCTCCGCACAGGTTTCTGGTCAGGTGACATAAGGAAAGGCATTTTTAACTTTATCCAGCCTCTGTTCTCAAAGGCTCCCCAAAGCCTTCCAGATTCACTCCATTTCTTCAATAAATGCTTTCTCAGAGGCAGGAGGGCAAGGGAAAGGCCAAGAGGGAAAAAGGGGTACACATTAGGGGTGAGGGAAGGGAAGGGAGAGGAACTTTTATTCTGTTTACAGAAAGATTTGCTTTTTTAAAACAAATGGTGATTTGTTTTCTCCCCCCACCCCTCATCCTCACCCCAACTGTTCTATTCTGAAAAGGAGGAAAACATAGTTAGATCAGGAAATTCTTCATTGTTGTAGCTGTTGCTCTGGTCTCCTAGCATAGACAGCATCTCCTAAAAAAGAAAAATAGTAAGTGTGGGTCACATACCTTGATCCCTTTTATTTATCAAGCTCCTTCCCAACAATGCCCTGAACCATCACCTCTAGCCTGGCCCCAAAGACTTTCTGCTGTGCTGAGCTCTCAACTTCCTTTACTTCCAGCAACTCTCTACTCCTTCAGATGACAACTTTTTTTCCTAGTCCTTTGTCTTCCTTCTGTAGTTTCACATTTTCCTATTTTCTGTTTTTCAATATTTTCAAAGGTAGAAAAATTGCTTGCCATACTTCATGTAACATATATGGAGTATCTCATCCTGTTTGTTTTCCACCAAAACCTGTTTTGCCTTTTTTCAACCTGTGTGTAAAGTAGCTCTTCCTGTATCCTAAGATTTCTCCATGTGTTCTTACAGTCCCCTCAGGACTTACGTGAATAGCTTTAATACCTTAATAGTTATAATCAGTGTGTTTATACCCAAGCTACAGTGAAGTGGGGATGTGGTTCTCTTTGAATGGACTAAAATGACCTCCTTTGACATCTTCACATGGTGCTTCACATCATTAACTATGGTCTGGTTAAAGGCTATCCATCACCTAAGTTCACAATCTTTCCAATTAATGACACTTATCCTGAAATGTCCCCACTCTGTCTTCTCCCACATACTGCCCAACACCTCAATCCATGCATACTTCCTTCTGTCTCTCCTCCCTGTCCCTCCCTCTCCCAGATTCTACACCTCTGAAGCCTTTTTGTTCTCTCACCTGAAAGACTTCAGGCTGGCCAGGTTGCTGTGCTGATGGCTGTTGAGCGTGTTGCTCATCAGAACTTGAATGATGATGAGGCTGCTGGCCCTGCCACTGTGGCCAGACACCTACACCCTCTGCTGTCCGTGTCTGGAATTGTCCTGTAGTCTGCCCAGTCTCAGAAGCTAGAAATACAGCAAGGAAAAATAAACAACTTCCATTTACTAACTCCATTGGAGAGCCATTAACTACATGCAAGCCATTAATTTTACCTAGATGCCTTGTGCACATCTCTCTGTCGATCAACGCCTCTACTGTTTCAAAACCCAGCCCGAAATTAAGTTTTCTTCTCTAGGTAGCCTTTCCAAAGAGACCTTTGCTCATTTAGATTAAATTGGAATATTACTAAGTTTATAATACCTTACATGTATTTTGCTATATGTGCTAGTCTTTTTCATGTGAGTTTTAAATTCCAAATGGACTGTCACCTTGCATTATCCCTCCAAAATTAGGTCGAGGTACCCAGTACACAAGCAAACCATTTTAAGTACCAAATCCTCTCTTTTTAGTGGTACGATTTTCCTGTCACCCTCCTTCTGGTCTGAACTCACCGAAGTTGGATCCACGATTGGTGAGAGAAGGATAGGCAGCAGCACCAGGTGAAGCAGTGGGAGCACCAGGGAGGGACATGGGACTGAAGGAGGACGGAGTCTGAAAGTTGCCCACACCAAATTGGGAAGATCGAGTCTTGGCTGTAGCCTGGATAGCCACCTGCTTAGAGAAAGGGACAGAGAACAACAATTAATATTAACATTACTACACATATCATTCCTATGAGAGTCAACCCTCTGTCAATCGCTGGATTCTTCTGAGCCAAGCTCATCACTTATTTCCTAGTGTGTATTTCTTTCAATTAACTCCCAATCTCTCTTGATACTACTTTCATTTTGTTATTGAGTATAGCTGATATACAATATTATACTGGTTTCAAGTATACAACACAGTGATTCAATCATTTTTCACACTATTAAATCCTCACCCTGACCAGTGCAGTTACTATCTGTCTTGACACTACTTTTAGGCAGTTGTGATAAAGTGCAAAAAACAAAGAACTATGGAATTAATAAGTCTATATTTAGAGTCATGAGAATTAAATGAAAATAATTTAAATGAAAGTATTTATAAACTATAAAGTTATATAAAACCAGAGGCATTAATGATATATAGAGAAAAACACTACATCATTTTATTATTCAGTCTATACTACGTTCATTTGTTCTTCCTACTGATGTTTAGTCAAGGGTTTTTTTGGTAACTAAACATTTTTCTCACCACAATAGCAAAGCATATACACTGTGAAACAGCTGGACACTAAGGAAAAATAGAAAGAAAATAATAATTTATAAATCTACAACTAAAGACCCATTGTTAACATTTTTGGATAATTTCTTCCAGTTTTTATTTTCCTATGCATTTTTTATGAAACTGAGGTCATACTGCTTATAACAATTCTGAAGCCTGCTTTTGGTTCTGGCCTTTTTATTTAAAATATTACTTATGCAATATGAGTATATATTAATATATGAAAGAAAATTAGCTTTAGGCTGAACATATATTACATATATATTATATAAAGATTTTTCAACACTTTTTTTTTGTAAATAGACAGCACTGCAGCACTGTGTAAATTAGTAATTAATTTTCTCCTTTGTTCCTGTATTTTGTAACCCTAACCAAAGTGGAAAATTAGAATTTATTCCAAAACAAATCTGAAACTCAAACCTGTTTAAGATGTTTTGTGTGAACAATTCTGATTTAAAGTGAGTATGTGAAACCAGAGAGATGCTGAGATTTTTGGGTTAGATATGGTTTTTAATTAGCTGCTCCTAAAAAAAGGTAAAA